AAAAAAAAAAAAAAAAGGGAAAAAAAAGAGTAGAAGAACAGTAACAAGAAGAAGAATTTTTTACAGCCACATAACAAAATCCCATATTATTAACTTAATATGCTATTAACTTCAAAGTTTTGATCTATTTTCCTGGGAAATCAAATGGATGACTGTGAATTTTGTGGAGGAACTATGAGGCTAAAGGGTAAATGTAATTTGAAAATGGCAGGTAGGGGAGAGAGGAGTGCAGCTTTCGGGAGGGCAGAAGCAGAGAATAGCTATAGCTAGGGCAATGCTGAAAAATCCAGCAATCCTGCTACTGGATGAGGCAACAAGTGCACTGGACTCGGAGTCAGAAAAACTAGTGCAGGAGGCTCTTGACCGGTTCATGATTGGAAGGACAACGCTTGTCATTGCTCATCGCCTTTCCACCATTCGCAAGGCTGACCTTGTAACTGTGCTGCAGCAAGGGACTGTCACCGAAATTGGAACACATGATGAATTGATTTCCAAGGGAGAAAATGGTGTCTATGCCAAGCTCATCAGAATGCAGGAGATGGCACATGAAACCGCTCTCAACAATGCCAGAAAGAGTAGTGCAAGGTTAATATTACCAACTGTACACCTTTTTATTAAATTCTTGGAACAACATATTTTTGTTTTATGCCATTTAAATTGTGTCTGGTTTGATGGGAAGTATTGAGCTGAAAACTTGTTTTCTAACACGGTTCTACATTTACAGGCCTTCAAGTGCCAGGAACTCAGTTAGCTCACCAATAATTGCCCGAAACTCCTCCTATGGTCGATCACCATACTCACGCAGGCTATCTGACTTCTCTACTTCTGATTTTAGTCTATCCCTTGATGCCACACATCCCAATTACCGGCTTGAAAAACTAGCCTTCAAGGAGCAAGCCAGTTCATTTTGGCGCCTTGCAAAAATGAATTCTCCTGAATGGGTTTATGCTTTAGTCGGTTCTATAGGCTCTGTTATCTGTGGCTCCCTAAGTGCCTTCTTTGCATATGTTTTAAGCGCTGTCCTCAGCGTCTACTACAATCCAGACCATGCATACATGAGCAGACAAATTGCAAAGTATTGCTACTTGTTAATTGGCCTTTCATCAGCTGCACTTGTCTTCAACACACTTCAGCATTCCTTTTGGGACATCGTGGGAGAAAACCTTACAAAACGTGTGAGGGAAAAAATGCTAACAGCGGTGCTGAAAAATGAAATGGCATGGTTTGATCAAGAGGAAAATGAGAGTGCTAGGATTGCAGCAAGGCTGGCTCTCGATGCCAACAATGTCAGATCAGCCATTGGAGACAGGATTTCAGTGATTGTGCAGAACACAGCACTCATGCTAGTTGCATGCACTGCAGGTTTTGTTTTGCAATGGCGCCTTGCCCTCGTTCTCATAGCTGTCTTCCCTGTTGTTGTTGCAGCAACTGTTTTGCAGGTTTGTATTTACATATCTAATTCCTCATACATCTATGGTTACAAGTTCGGTCTGCTGACGATTTATATTAGAAATGATAAATTGGGATTGATGATTGTATTGATAATCCAAGAACCATTATTTTTCACTATTTAGAATAAAAGTTCTGAACATTATTCTAAACAAGTCTTTGTTGGATTTTCAACAGAAAATGTTCATGCAAGGATTCTCAGGAGACTTGGAAGCTGCTCATGCCAAGTCGACACAACTTGCAGCAGAAGCCATTGCCAATGTAAGGACTGTTGCTGCCTTCAATTCAGAGTCAAAGATTGTTGGCCTGTTCTGCTCCAACCTTGAAATTCCATTACGTCGCTGCTTTTGGAAAGGACAGATTGCTGGAAGTGGATTCGGGGTTGCTCAATTTTCTCTTTATGCTTCCTATGCTCTTGGCCTCTGGTATGCTTCGTGGCTTGTGAAGCATGGGATCTCTGATTTCTCAAAGACAATCCGAGTTTTCATGGTCCTCATGGTCTCCGCCAATGGTGCTGCTGAAACGCTAACCCTGGCTCCTGACTTCATCAAAGGTGGGCGAGCAATGCGGTCAGTCTTTGAACTTCTTGACCGCAAAACAGAAATTGAGCCTGATGATCCAGATGCTACTCCAGCTCCTGACCGTCTTCGTGGGGAAGTTGAATTAAAGCATGTGGACTTTTCTTACCCCTCTCGCCCTGATGTTCCAATCTTCCGTGATCTTTCTCTTCGTGCTCGAGCAGGCAAAACTCTTGCTCTTGTAGGTCCTAGTGGATGTGGTAAGAGTTCAGTCATTGCACTTATACAGCGATTCTATGAACCCTCATCTGGACGGGTTGTGGTTGATGGGAAGGACATTAGAAAATACAATCTTAAGTCTCTGCGAAGGCACATGGCAATTGTTCCTCAGGAACCATGCCTCTTTGCTACTTCCATTTATGAGAACATTGCTTATGGACATCAGTCAGCAAGTGAGTCTGAGATCATTGAAGCAGCTACAGCTGCCAATGCTCACAAGTTCATATCTGGATTGCCTGATGGCTACAAAACATTCGTCGGGGAGAGAGGAGCTCAACTTTCTGGGGGGCAGAAACAAAGAATTGCAATAGCTAGGGCTCTCCTTAGGAAGGCAGAGCTTATGCTGCTAGATGAAGCAACAAGTGCACTCGATGCTGAGTCTGAGCGATCAGTTCAAGAGGCTCTAGACCGCGCATGTGCAGGAAAGACTACAATTGTTGTTGCTCATCGATTATCAACCATCAGGAATGCCCATGTCATTGCAGTAATTGATGATGGGAAAGTTGCAGAACAAGGTTCCCATTCACATTTGTTAAAAAATTATCCTGATGGGTGTTACGCCCGCATGATACAGTTACAGAGGTTCACACATAGCCAAGTTATTGGAATGACATCAGGTTCAAGTTCCTCAGCAAGACCCAAAGACGACGAGGATAGAGAAGCTTACTAAGTTTATGATAATACCAAGTGAAAAAAGATTATTTCCCTTATACCCCCCTTAATGATTTTTTGGGTTTTGATTTTCAGTTTAATGTTTTGTTATAGTATAGTATGTGTATTACCTAAATTTTATATATTGTCTTTATGAATATTTCTAAGGAAATGATAATGACCATACTTCCTTCACATCCCAAGAGGTCATAACAAATTAACAATAACATATCCATCAAAATGAATTCGCAGAGGCAGCCCTAGTGCATTTTCGTTGTTGCCTTTGCTTTCAACAGGCATAACATGGATACGCATTGCTGAAATAATTATAACGATCCTAGTTGAGTCCACATTCACTAAGAAAATGTTTGGCATGCGGGTTGATAACCACTTGGGCATTCTTTCCCTACAAGTAGATTTTAAGGATGAAATCTACCCTTTCGTGGTTCTTACAATTGGTGGGGTAAACCTTGTAAAAAAACTTTATGGGATTGTTAAAAGTCTTACCAGCTTGGTATATCTCGAGCTGCCGTGGACGTAAATTCCAAGGGGGTGGCTTGCATCACTAAGGAATGGCTTTGTTACAATAATTGAGAAAGAAAGGTGTCAAAGTATTACCTATGTATGCTGTAAAGTTTGACTAGTACTACTCCAAGTGACCAAACTTTTTGATTGTCTAGCAAACAATGAAAGTTATCCTAAAGATAGTGGTTATAATGACAAATAAGTCTCTAATTTAAACATAAAAGAAAGGAGTTAGAATTCCATCACTTTCCCGACACTGATCAATCACAACATAGTAAATGGACCTAATGGCGGTGTCGATGTAGACCTCAAACGAATAACATGTTGAGCAAATAAACATCACAATCCAAACTTTAAGAGATGGAAATATTTGAAATTATTTGATCATGATCTCAACTGGGTATATGTATATATTTATGATACCGCCTGTGGGGAACAAAATTATTGAAATCAATGTCACATGGTGGTCGCACATGTGCATACCTCTTAAAAAGATAGATAACAAAGAAAACACAGAGAGAGGAAGAAACAGGACAAGAAACTTAAAAAGAGGAAGTGGGAAATAATGCAGGACAAGCATGAGGAAAAAGAGAAGGAAACTGGCTTGAAAATGACAGGATGATGATGGTGTTTAATAAAGGCCAAAGGGCCTAATGGTCTTTTTGATTGACAAGGATTTCTAAGGATTTGAGTTGCGAAAGAAGAGATCGGGTTTAGGCATTTTGTGAACGCCGCGTCTTGTTCTCAAGTGCTTTAGAGTTTTTCTTTTGGAGGGGTATTGGAAGATGACACTCTGCGCAAAGCTAATAATAACATACTAACTCTTGCTCCTTGTCTGGATTTACAAGGGTAAGGACTAAAATACAATAATAGTGACAGGAATATCTGAAAAAAATACGTTAAGGGTTTCGAAATCCAAGGGACCATCAAATTGGTTTGATGAAGTTTTCAGGCCATCAATAAAAGTTTAGTTTTTAGAAAAGTAAAATCAAACGCAGCTGGCATTTTCAGCCTTTTGTTCTTTGTAAAACGAAAGGCAAATGAAATAGAAAAGTTGTGCCTACTGACAACGCCAAATGCCTGATACAAATCCGAGAGAAAAGCCCTGTAGTTTTTCTCATCTCCCAAAAAGTTAAATGTTTATAAAATTTAATTTGATAAAAGAAGACGAGACTTTCTTCCCATGCGAAAGAGACAGAATTTATTAACTTTCTTTCAACCTCTGGTGTGATGTCCGACTTATTAAAAAAGACAAGTGTCCAAAAATGTCGAGCCAAAACTGGTAATAGCCCAAAAACCACCTTCTTTTGTATCCAAATTCACTCAACATTTGACTAACAACAAATCGTGTAAATTCAACATGGGGTGAATAACACCTTATGGGGCATATTCTACACCAAATGCCGTGTCTTCTACATTATGAGACATCCTTCTGCTTTCAGGCCACCTTCCTAGCATCATTGAACTACATAACGATATAAAAATTTTTCAGTTTGCCAAAGGGAAAAGAAAGAATTTATGCACTTAGTTCTTAAGTATTGTTGATATCTTAAAGGCATGTCTCAAAGCACACCTAGGGTCAGACTCCCAGTCTTGATGAACCCAGCCAATAACCAAGGCTGGATCCTCGCAGACAACCTTGAGTTTTAATCCCATGAAATAGTTGGGCTTTATCAAAGCCAACTGACCTGGGTATTAGCAGATCAAATTATGACTTTCTGAGTTGAACAAAATGCTCCATATTACAAACGCCAAAGACAACCCAAAGACCATTAGCTGCTTAGCATAGCAGATTTGGAACCATTTGAAAATCTGTGGAAGGCTCTCTAAATAATGATAAGAACAGACCACCATAATATACATCTCCAAGTACACTTCCAGTTTCAACTGGACCACAAATATTAAAATGGATAAACATTGGGTTTCCTTTTCTCCAGAAATAATATAATCAGTTGCAAACACTTAAATCTTCACAAACTGACAAGTGAATATCCAACATGAAATGTTATTGTTCTTATATCAGTTGCCTGATTTGAAAACTGCATATAATGAGCACCGTGCTCAAAGAGAATATCATAAAAGAAGCAAGCAAGAACAAAACATAATCCAAGAAGGGAATCATTTGCCAGAAAAAAAGATGCAAATTGACAACAAAGCAGAATTAATTCAAAAACAGAATGATAAGCACAGAGTTACAACTTAGTAGAGGATTAAAAGAATTGAATTCAAGTGTGAGCACTCAATATTTTAATTAATCTTAAGAAATCACATCACAAACACTGCAATTGAGAATTAGTATACAGTAAAATTAATCTATTCTTTATCAGCAATACCAGCAACTGTCCCGGTACAAAAAAACAACTGTCATGCTAAAACAAAATTTTTACAAAAAGAAAGAGTATATCTTTCAATATCAGGACCAACTTAACTCACTCATAATCTTACCATACATAAAGGAATCATAAAAAAAAAAAAAAAAGCTCACATAGACATAAGCTTTGGACCATTATCTGGCATGCCCATCCCAGCAGCTAAGTCAGCATCAAGTTGAGTATGTGGTTTAGTCCCCATCATTTCTTTTAAACTGCATATAAGATTAATGTCTAATGATAAATCCTCCTTGATTATTTGAAGACATTTAAAGTGCAAGCAATAGTTTCATCCGTTAGTATTTGAAGGTGGGGGGCTGAAACCCATATTTGTGGTTTCACTCCAGACTTCCTCCAATGAGATGTGCAGACAATTTACTTCTCCTCAAAATACATGAGTATAAATATCTCTTAAGAATTCAGTCATAAATTGTCGAAGTAATACAAGAATAGGTATACAACACGTTTGAGGAACATTACAACATTCACAAGCAAAAACACGCACTCTTAATCAGACATATTAGTACAATGATGACCCTTAAAGTCTTAGAATTACAACAGGATCCTCAAATTTCTTTCCATGCTTAATTGCTCAGGAGTTTGGTACACGAAATGCTTATGTCACAGAAAGTTTACTAATATGATATCTTGGGGATTAAAGGATATCTCAGTTGACTAAAAGCCAATTTTCTGATAAGTAATGTAATATTGTAATGCTCGCCAAGTTAGAGACAAATAAAGTATAATGCTTCTAGACAATGGAAGAGTTTTAATAAAATTGGATAGTATTTATGAGAGAAAGAAAGGCAATAAAATCGATTTTTTATAAGGATTTGTACTAAACTTGATAGTTCAATGGAAACGAAACAGGGAATAATATCATTCCTAATGCAAAGAGGTTTATTAATTTTCCTGAGAAGATTTAAGTACAAAAGTAATACCCTTAAATAGAGCAACACACTATTACATATCCTGTGCACAAATTTTGTTCTAAACAATAATCCTTGATTGTACACCCATGTTTTAACATCAGCAATAATGAATCATTTAAGTCTAAAAAAATATTGCAAGGATCAATAGTAACATAAATAAACTTATTGAAAGAAGAACATACAACCCAAACACAATCTCCTCAATGAAGAATCCTCTTTCGACTCAAGTTCTTTTCCTCACTCAATCTCTTATTCCCAGGAAAAAGAACATGAACAAGCAATCTAAGGGTTAAAGAGGAATAGCACTTACGTTTGGGAAAAGAAAATCAGATATTTATACTTCAACCTTCAAAGGAAAATTTATTAACCTCATTGTGTAAGGACTGATATTATTCTGTGTTCCTATTTCCATTCAACTTTCAAGTTTAAAACAATCCACTGATATTCTTTCGTGTTTCCTATTTCCATTCAACTTCCAAGTTTAAAACAATCCACTGATATTCTTTCGTGTTTCCTATTTCCATTCAACTTCCAAGTATAAAACAATTCATTCTATAAAAATCATTTCTTACCCTTTATTTTTCCAAAAAAATGATTTTCTAGTTTCATTAAACTCCAACACTATGCAACAATTTAGGCTACTAAGCTTATCTTTGCACTAGCTACAAGTCCATTTTGCACCCGTATTCACTTGATTAAAGGAAAATCTTCCACAATCCTTTGAGATTAATATGTGTGATAAGGTTCACATAGATTTGTTATGTTCTGATCATGGAAAAATGTAATATAAACAAATATCTAGAAAAGAAGTTATAAAATCTAAGTGTATGAGACTCAGTGCCTCAGGTATACAATAAACGCATGACTCAGAGTAGTTCTACAGGAAACTATAAATTTATAGTAACATGCAATAACATATCTTTCTCAAAATAATTACTCAATGAATAACTAATACATAACACTGAATAAATGCAACTTCAGAACAATAATAGAAAGAAAAGAACGATATAAAGTTGCTAACCGTTTCTTGTGACGTTTTGTCTTAAAATGTTCATCCCTCGTTGACAAGTCTGCAAAATATCGACTGCAAACAAGAAAAAGAAAAAGTTCATGTCTTAGGCAAAAAAGATATATAAAAGAATTAAAAAAATAAACCATAACCCATGTTAAAAGAAAGCACAAAAATAAATGTCAAAAATGTCAATTAAAAAGTTATTTAGTTGACAATGTTGGATGTAACTGTATGACTTCAAATCGAATTAAAAAGATGAATGTTTAAAAATGTGTATCTCACCTTTGATAAAAGTTTTATGTCACAACATTCCAACCCAAAACTACAATAATATAGTTACAATAAAAAAACTAGTTCTACTAAAC